CCCATGCTGTACTCGCAGAAATCTGGGAGGGAAAAAAAAACATAACCTATAAGCCATAGTGCTAGTGAGGACACCCATTAATAAAGCCTTTGAAGATAGGAACTAAGGGCTAAAGTGTCTAAGTCTTTGCAACTCTTTGTAGGGAGGACCTGAAGGCAGTAATAACACTGTAGTACACAGATTCATTGGCTTGGAATCTCACCATGACTTTAATAGTCCAAATAATCACCCTTTCTTACACGCCCAGTTGAAGGTATGATTTATGGAGGAACTATAATACATCCCCTGTCCTTTCTAGCTCAGTGTAATGGCATTTAACAATAATCTAATTAATTTTTAAAAATGTATATTGATTTAACTCATTCATCATCTTACTCCTTTTCAATAGCTACTCTGGTGAAAATGTTGTAAAACAGACCTATTACTGCAGCTGAGACTTAGTCTGGACTGTGTAGTTTTAACTTACCCAGTGCAAAAACGGCTTTCATCAATGCAAACTGTGTTGTAGCAGCAGAGACCATGTCTGTCTATACCAGGGCAACAAAGTAGCTCCAAGTGATGTGTGAGTACTTTTGTTGTTGCCACTGGGAATATCTGAGTGCTATCATTTCTCTGTCATAGTCCTCTCAGTAACCTAAGTTAAGAGTCATTTGACCTGTGCCTCTTTTCACCATGTGAAAAAATGGGCATAATAACTCGTCATTATCCTAGCCTTCAAGTACCTGGAGGTACTTTGTTATTACAAGACTAGGGATGGAGTCCTATAATTACATGGGTATAAAAACAGGGTTGTAGGAAGACTAGATTCTTAGGCATACATGCAAATAGGAGATTAAAAGCTTCTCTTCCTTCTCCCTCTGACATAATTTTCTGCAGATTGGTATACTGCACTTTGTACTTTTACAGGGATAAAACTGATTTATTAGACCAAACTCTAAGCTCTCCTAAAATATCAAAGCCTAGGTCATTATCTTGATGTCTAAGCTAAGCTAGTCTAAGTGCAGCAGACCCAGTGCTGATGTTATCCTAGTAGATGCACCTTCATTGCACACTGGCAGAAATCCCAAGTAATTTATTAAGTGGAGTTATATCCTTGTAGATGAAAAAAGAGCTGAAGCCTCATGTTCCTTGTGTTACATGAAGATTTGGTGTCACAGACTTTTTAAATACAAATAACCATGCAAACCTAAGAATTGTGCATATTTTTAGTGAATGCTAGTTATTTAGCTCATTTTCATTCCTTTTCTGTATACTACAGAATACAGTGTAATTCTGTCCTCACAGGAAAAACTAGGTTTACTGCATACTAAACCTCCTAGTTTTGGTGTGGCAGATTGTTTTCAGATTCACTGGAAACCCACTTGTCCAGATACAGTTGTGCACTCTTATGATACCTGTTAATTATAGACTGTAAGATGAAGGAATAATATTGTTGGGTTTAATACAGTATTTTTGATTGGTATTAGTCTGAGGTTGGTTTTCAGTATTCTGCACTGTTGCTTTTCCACTGCTTTCATTCTTGCATATTGCTTTTGTACCACAAGCCACTGCCTGTAGTAATGTATTGCTAAACTAAAATAATTGCACACATATAATGATCACCGTATTTTTTTCTTTTCCTTTTATGTGTATTGCCTTGAAAGTAAGATTTGAGAAGGCAAAATAAAAATTATGTCCAAACACCAATTGTTCTTCTTCTTTTGATAGATGTATCTACGCCAGAGGCTGGAAGAAAATTATTGGATGCCTCTGTAGCAAACGGTGGCCTGGGACCACAAGGAAAGCAGAATGGGGCCACGCAAGTGACCGTGCAGCGCAAGAGACTCCTTAAGGCTCCCACATTGGCTGAACTTGACAGCTCAGATTCAGAGGTAAAAAATCAGGATGCAACTTGCTTCTCAATTGGTCAGAATTGAGTCTTATTCCTCAATTTGCTGAGCTGATCAGTTAAGTAGTTACTTTGCAGATGATAATGTGAGTTTTCCATGACTGCTTTGTCAGCCCGCAGAACTTAGAAAATATTGGATCTGACTTAAAACCAAAGAATATTCTTTAAAAAGGTTAAATGTTGTATTTCTTCTTAAGCCCAGTATTTACTTGTTTTTCTAAATACACAGTATCTGTCCACCATGTGTATGTAGCAATTATGCTTTTGGGAATGCTGGCAAATGTGTTGCACCCTTCTGGCACCCGTGCAGGGTCTGTCACTAAAGGCCTCAGAAATTAGGCCAGCCTCCCTGTACCAGCTGTTAAATAAAGAGAATCAGCTGTGCCAGAGGGGTCACAGTTCAGTGCAAATGTCAGTGCATTACTTTGCTTTATAGGCTTGGGAAGTAACACGCAACAAATGTGGGACAGACAGGTTCAAACAAATACCACTTAGGTGGAGAAACAGCTTTGAATCCATCCTCTCTCAAATGGAGAGTTAAAGATTTAAAAAAGCATGAAAAAAAAAGCTCTCTAGGTTAAAAGCTGCATTGTATATGATCCTCAAGAAGTACCAACATTACATTCTCAAGAATGAGCTTTGTCTTCTGCACCAGTAGTATTATTAATTGAGCTTGGACCTTTCTGAAAGTTAAGCTGTCTGGAAAACACATGTAGGCAGGGCTTATTCAAAGAGACAATTTTAGCCTGGGGAAGGCAGTCTTCCCTGACTGTCTTTCTCTCTTCTAAATGGGGAAGGAGGGTTTTCCTGACAGGGCTCCTACAGAGGCATCTAAGCTGAAAGATAGAAGGTTGGGAAGAAATTTATGTGGGGAGAAATGTATCTCCTTGTCTACTTTCTTGATCTGTGAAAGGTTGACTCTCTTTGTATTAGGGATTATCCTATGGGTGACTTCTGTGAGTGCATAGTTTGGTGCATCTATTCTGAAAGCAGAAGAGATTTGCATTCTGATTTCTCAAGGCAGTCTTTAAAATTACAATAGAGTCTATATGTGGTTTTGTCAATATGAATGAAGCTGGGCAGGAAGCAGGAATATTAAGAACTGTCAATGAGAGTTGGATCTCAGAGCTTCCCAGCTTGTAGCTCCGTGCATCCTGAACGTAATGCAGCATGGTATTTCACACAGAAAATGAGCAGAAGTCAGTGAAAGAAAATTCTGTAAAGGGAAATGTGAACTGATTCTTGTAGGATGGAAAAAAACCATGTCTGACTGTTACTATTGATTAGGAAATACTGTGTAGACAAGCAAAATCATATAGAATAAGCTCTGAAACATACAGCAAAAGATAAATTGAACATAAATCAGCCACATCTAGCTGTCACAAAGAACAGATGCTCTACTGGTTTCAGCCAGCGAAAGTAGCTGATGAAGCAATTAATACTATTAAGGTGCTCAGCAGAATGCTGGTTGGGGCTCAGAAACAGTAGTGCAGAAGCAGTGCAAATAAACAAACTGAAGTGAATTAGGTGAAATTTTCTGAGCTGTCAAGGGAGGTTGGACATAGAACATTCAAAGATAGTGAAGGTTGTTCTGTCAAAATGTCTTACTTCTTTCCTGACTTTTACTTTGTATGTGACACAGAAAAGTGTATGTCTTGTCCTGATTGCATCTAAATGACTCGGCCACCCCTTTGCCTGCAATTTGAAATGGGCTTAACCTGTTTAGGGTTACTCACTGGGAGTTGAATTATGACTGTGTTCTGCCCTAAATTACAGGCTGCAAATATCTGCACTGCTGAGCTGTGGACCTCCAAATGAGCTATGATGCAGATGCATTTTCTTCCCCCTGCATCCCTTTGTTCCTCTCTCAGCTCTGTTGTTATGCAGACAACGCCCCAACACTCACAGTCTTGCCAGCCAGAGGTGAAAGGGAGGGTCTGATACAGCCCTATGCCCATTTGCTGGCCAGAATGAATATTGTACAAACCATTCATGCTTTCAGTCCTTGCTTTTTTCTTCATCACCACTAGAATCACAGTTTCTGAGGGGAAGCAAGAAGAGCCATTTTGTTTGTGTGGCTAAGAGAAGTAGCAATCTAATGGTAATTGTTTGATACAGATGTAAAAATGGTGTCTTCCTAATGAAGATTCCACTACCTGAACAAAAAGTATGTCAGTAACAAACTCAGATGTTTTAAGGTGATGCCTCTAAAGCTGCAGCTTTGTCAGTACGTGTCAAATTCTAATTGTATAGTCCTCTCTGGAGAAATGCACAGTCCCAAGTGTTGGGTTGATCCAGCTTCCCATGTAAAATGTCAGACAGTCTATCATAATAGTCATTACTTGCTGTATAGATATGAAGAATTTCATTAAAAGATTTAGCAGTACTTCCTACACAAGATTCCGTTCTCAAAAAAATAACATTTTCAGTGCATGTGTTTGAGCACAGAAAAAATAATTTGAAAGTACAAACCAGGAATACCTGTTCTCTAAGTAGGATGATATGTCAAATTTAACATACCCCTGGTTTCCATTCTCCCTGCAATTGTTTTATTTTGTATATAAATTTCTAGGCTGCTTCTAGGTTGTTTATACTCTTTTCTGATCTTGTTCTTTCAAGTGAGAGTTAAATACACTGGTGTCCAACCATGTGCCATTTATTCCAGTTTCTAAAAAAATCAAGCATTGTAAATTCCATTTACTCAGTGCTGTGTAAAGTCTGTTTTTCTCCGAATTTCTAGGACTTTGAGTGATTGAATGGTGCAAAATACCTTTAATAGCTTGTGATTTCTGTGGAGTAGCAAGCAGCAAAGGAAGAAAAAAATACCCCTGAGGAATTCTGTTTCTTTTTCTCTTGCCACACAGGAGGAATCAGTGCACAAATCAGCAAGTAGCAGCAGCATCTCCCCCTCACAAGTAGAAGACCCCTCTCAAGAAGGCACCAGCAGCAGAAAGAGTGAGTTTTAATGAGAGAGCCCAGTGGCTCCTTTCACACACTTCTGGTATCTTATGTTCTATGAACTTTGTCTGAAACTGTTATAGAAAGCTGAAGCTGAGTGGTATTAAAGCAATAAATCTCTAAATCTAAACCCTAGAACCTACTCAATAGGTCAAATGTGATTGATGATTGGAATGCAGTAGCCTCCACTAAACATGGATAGCTTTGTGAAACAGAAGGTGGTTTCATACTTGAATTTCATGTGGAACTGTAGAGAAAGTCACGAGCGAATGGGGGTAGTTTAGCTATTCTCATATCATAGAAGAATTTGGTACTGCAGAAACACATTCTAGCCTAAGACAAATGTTTCCTCCATCTCTACCACCATGGCAGTGAGCATATTTGCTTGAAAGATACATATCAATCACCAGTATTTCTTGTAAGTACTTAACTGGGAAGAGAGGAGGATCTGTTCTCTTTTTCAGGCACAGTTATTATTGCCTTACACTGTGTTACAATATTTTTAATTTGTTCCAAAGTGTTCAGTTTCAGTGGAAAGGTTTTGTAGTGAAATGTGGAATCTGTGCATGTATTTTCTGTGCATGATGGTGAGATAAGTAGTATAAGCCAATACCCTGAAACACTGAATTTATATAAGATGGTAGCTGGACAGCAGCATGCCTATAGATGCTAGTTTTATGTGTATTCTTGTCCTCTCAATCTGGAAAATGTGATGAGTGTGATACTTGTCTTGAAGATGCTCTGAGTATGGTTGTATAACTTCAGCCACCACTAGTGGTAACTCTAGCAAATCAGTGGCTGGTTCAAGTAGTGAGCAATGTTACTCCAACAGTCTTGTCTTACAAGAACTAATTATTTCATACTGGTTGAATCTTTAGTGCCTCCAAAGTTCTTGCCCATATCATCCACACCACAGCCTGAGAGACGGCAGCCGCCTCAGAGACGACACTCCATTGAAAAGGAAACGCCAACCAATGTGAGACAGTTCTTACCACCTTCAAAACAGAGCTCCAGATCACTTGTAAGTGGAGTGGGTGGTAGGAGAGAGAAAAAGAGGAATGCTAAGAGTATGATGAAAATTAAAACTTGGCTTCAGTGTGATTAGAACTTGACTAAATAAAAGTCCTCCATTCAGAAAAAGCCCTTGGCCACTGAAGACCTTTTGAAATCAAAATTTGAACTCTGTCTCCCTAGCATATTTATCCAAAATCCTGGACAGGTGCCTTAGAAAACATTTGCACTTTGATTAAGACTCTGGATAAAGCCATATGGCTTGATTTTATTTCAGAATGTTACCAAAACAGATGAACTCCACCTTACTGATTTTCCATGTGAATAGAGAAAATTCCAAAGCTGTGGGTCTATTTTGGGATTTGAGAGAATTTTGTTGTTGGAAATATTTTAGTTAATGGCTGAATGAATGGAATGGTTTCTTTTCTTCCCACCTTAAGAACTCGTGTTGTAATGTTTATACATGTGAAAGCTCTTTCAGTAATCCAAATCAATGTTTGTCTGTTGCTTTGTTGAAGTTACTGAGGCAAACATCTGTATGGCTGCCTGAAAAGAAAGTACAGTAGATTTTATCAATTAGTTTTAATTGAGAGCTGTTTTCCAACGGAGTACAAACAGCAAAGGGTATGAAATCCTGGTTTGTTTATGCTGACATACTGGTTAGTGCTTTGTTATTTCATGCAGGATATGTTCCTCCTCTCTTTTCCTACCAGCAGGGTTTCAAAGTATGCCCCATGAGGTGCTGGTGAATAGAGAAATCGATAAACACATCCTAGGTTTGAAAGGAAGGGAGTATTCACTTGCCCCATCTTGTAGTGCAGTTATATTAATAAGCTTTGAAGAGTGTTTTTGTTGGCCCAAGAGGTGGTGGCAAGGATCCAAATCTATTAGATTATCAGGTTGAACAGTAACAAGAAAATAATCTCCAAATATTCTCACAACATGTTTCCTCCTTGTGTTTTCAGAGGGTCGTCTGGATTTTGTTTTTTATAACTTTCCAAGTAGAATGTAGTTTCTCATTCCAGGTGAAGGTCAGGTAGTAGCATGTTGATAAACACACAACACAGGTAGACTTCTCCTGCCAAAGTGAACGTGGAGCAAAACATACTGCACCAGAACTGAGCTGGAGGGTTCCTTCAGCATGCATTTGAAGACACTGTCACATAAAATGGGTTGCCCTGTCACCACCTGCCGCACTCACTGTATGTGGAAGCACAAGCTTTATTTCCTAACAGGCCCTGAGACATTCACAGACATATTGTGTAAAGGGGGGAAGGGAGAAAGCATTACATGTTACACTGAGGCATTGGCTCCATACACTTGTATCTAAATATGCTGCATCGTAATCTTGATCTCGTATGTTTTTAAGAGGATCATGCGACTTTAAAATCTTATGTATGAAGCTGTTATTTTAAATAGGTCAACACTGTTCTTGAGATCGACGAAGACCTTTTTGTCCACATGTGTATATTCCCTCTGTCAGTCAGTTCACTGACATATGCCTAGAAATTCATATACAAAATAAACCAATTGCAGAAAAAATAATTTAACTATTCCACTTCCCCTTAAAAATACTCAAGGAAAAGAGAGGAAAAAAGCCATTAGAAAAACCAGGCTAATGAAGGAATGTATTGGAAATGTTTTACTGGTTTCTTTTGTGCTTGTTGTTGTTGTTGGGTTTTTTTAAATCTTTAGAAAACTTTCACCTAGCCTAGTTTTTGGCTATGAGGTGAGAAAGCAAAAGAAATTCGGTAGTGAAATTATGTTCTGTTAAATAAGAACCTATTTTATTTGACTCCTTGAGAGCTAATTCTTTAGCTTGACAATAGTGCCCTCTAGGGTGTGACAGAGAACTCCCACATTACTTTTTTTTTTAGTATTCCTAGATGATTTCTGATATGCTGGCACTGGCCCAGCCCCACGCTTTGGCTTGCTGCAAGCCTCTCCCTCCCTGGAGGGATGCCAGCTTCTCTCAGCGACTGCGCCAGATGCTGTGTAGGTAACGTCGCTGTTCCCAGAGCAAATGCTTCTCAATAAGTGCAGATCTTTATTTACTTTTTATTTGACTTCACACTTCTTCGTCCCTTCCTCCAGGATTGATGGAGTTTCATATCTTATCACCTGCTCCTGTGACCGCAGTTTCTCTCCAAGGTGAAAGAGACCTCGTCAATAAATAGCCCTGAAAGCCAGTGAAAACAGGCAGGAGTTTCCTACGGTCTCTTAGCAGGATTAGCAAGAAGCTGGTCTGTCTTGCATACTAACGATGGTTTTGTGAACTGGCATCTCATCAGACAGAGGGAGTTAGACCTAAATAGGTGGCGAGGGGGAACAAACTCGGAAAAATGCCAAACACAGTCCTTTTGCTATGTCACCTTACCAGTGCTACATGGAAAGGCAGAGCAACTCAGTGACTTTTAGGGGGGTCCGCCCTGGTGGTGTGCTTGCTGTAGTGAGCTGACCTGGTGCTTCGTCAGTGAGATAAAGCCAATGTCCTGAGATGTACATATGGGTGCCTTTGTAGTTGTGTGCTTTTTTAATTATTATTATTATTCTCCTCGTTATTTTTTTCATGTCCCAGAGGACCAAAGCTAATGATTTCATTGATACACAACATTCGCTTCTCTGCTTCGTATCTATTGTTCAGGTTCCTAGGATAACCAGTTTATTTCCAAGGATGACTTTCAGACCACTTTTTTCAACTATGCAAACAGCTTCTCTGCTCAGCTCTCATCCCGTTGAAGCAGCCATGTGTGGGGTGGCAGGGGCTATGTACTATCTCTGTGAGAGAGCTTTTGCCAGCAGGTGGAAACCCGCAAAGGTTTGCCTTTTTTGCTGGCTTTGGAAATCACCTTCACCAGCATGTTCCCTCCTAGGGGAGCACTTCCTAAGCTGTGGCAAGAATTAAAGCTTAGGCTGGGACATTGCACCTGATTGACATTGATTTCAATGTGTGTAGGATATCTGTGTGTCTTCAATCACCTCACGGGGAAAAGAAATCAGTTCTGAAAGGACAGCAAACTAAAAATGCAACATCACAAGATTATCAATGGGACATACCTTAAAAGTCACAGCACATGAAGATCCTGCAGCAAAATTCCCACAAGTCTATTGTAATCCTTGGACTATTATGAAAAAAAAAATCAGGTTTTATGTTTCTATCAAGATACGCTGTGTAGAATGGAAGGGCATTTGCAATCTGTTTTACTTGAAAACCTACGTATTGTTTTGGTCCTCAGCACACTTATGTATCAGAACTTGCAGAATAACTTACAGCTATGTACCAGGGAAGGCAAATCCAGTGAAAAGAAAAACTAATTAATTTAACCCTATGTAGAACTGAACATGAATAATTCATTTTTTTCCTTTCTCTTTCTTGTCCCAACCAGTGAGTGAAAGTGTGAAACCTATTGCACGAGAGTTTAGAGTTGAGATATCTGGCTGACTTCTTAGAAACCTCTAGCGTGCAAAAGCAACAAGAGCTTAGAGTGCTTGACTAACAGTGAATTGCAGGATGTAGAGGCCAATCTGGCACTTATTCATATTGCATTTTACTAGTTAAGCTCATTTGAATACCTAGTGACATCCTTTAGTGAGACGTTTTACAAGGAGTACATTAGTGTAAAAGTATGTTAGTCATAAGGACCTTCTAGGTGTCTCTGTGCTGACAATTACCTACAGAGCACTTTATTTCATATTATGGATATGTAATTCTTACTACCTGCTTTTCCAGAGATAAAAAAGAAATATTACATATATACACCTGAAGATATCATGGTATATGTAAGAGAATTGCACAAAGTATTAAGCCAGTTCTAATGAGGATCATGGAAGCTTCAAGTTCAAAATATTTTTTTATAAAGTAAGGTTCATTCCCCTTTAAAAACAAGAATAGTGACTTGTATTTAATATTAAAAGGAGTATTGAGTACAACTCAAGAAAATCTAGACCCTTTGAACCACATTTTTTCTTCAGTATGTTCTGCTGTATGCAAGTGTTGCAGAGAGCTGAAGTTCTCTCACGTGGAGCTGCCTAATTTAGGTGCAGATTATTGCTGGCAGTTTGAGCAATAACTCCAAAGAATCATTGTTTAATGAAGTTTAGTCAGTGCTTAGCGCAATTTTAATTAATTTCAATGCCTTAGAGCTAGTGTTGAAATAAAAGATTTTCTTGTGCACTTACTTCTATTCCAAAAAGGGAAAAAAAGAAAATCAAGCCATTTTCTGAAACCAGCATAATATTTATCTTTCATTTAATGTTGCATTAACATTTTGTTGTCCTTGTGTAACCTCTGGAATTAAAACATTAGCATTTAAACATGTGAACATTTTCTATGTTTCCCCTGTTGCCTGGTAGCTATTTCTATTTGCTTTAGTGATAATCATGTTGGATTGGTACAGCCACAGGCCCACCCTATTCCCCTAGCACCTGCTCTACACCTATAGCAGATCTGCAGACTTTCTTCAAAGGAGCAATATTCCCTGACATCATCGCTCTGTAAATTAAAGGAATGGGCGTTCATGAGGGGGAAGGAAGAGCTTCAAGTAAGAAACGTATTTCTAAAGGACTTAAGCTCTGCTTGATTACAAGCATTCAGTCAGCCTCATTCAGCTTGGACAGCCTCTCTCAGTCTCCCACGATGCAGAGTGGAGGGTTTCACTGGCATTGTGTGCATCCCGCTTTCCCACTCACTTCCTCTCCCATCTCGCCCCAGCCTTCAACCCTGCTTTCTCTGTAGTGAGGCAGTTGCTATGGGAAGAACCCACAGTGCAACACTGAGAGCTGCTGGTTGGTCAGCTGTAAAGTTGCTCATTAGGAACATAAGTTATTTTGTTTTGGCTGGGCAGTTTTACACCTCAGAGAAAATTGCAGCAGCTTTTGATGGAATTTGTTCTTTCCCGAAAACTAGTGATTCTGTACCCCAAAGGTTTAGCTGGCACATCTAACAAAGTTAATTCTAGTCTTTTGTGGGGTACCTTAAACAGAGTGAAGTTTCTTTGTGTTCCCTTTCTAGATAGGTAAGACAACAGTTTTTAAAAATGTGGTGGTTCCTAAATGCTAATGTTTGCCAGGTCTGCAACGTAGAAAGATTTGCTTTTTAATCTAATGGAAAGACAGAACAGACCTCTGAGTATATGGGAACGGAGCATTTCACTTCTAATCCGATTCATCACTTCAATTTGTAAACAAGATCTCCAAAGTGTCAGCCAAGTCTTTGTATTTGCAGGAGAAATTTCCTTCATTTATTCAAAGAGCATCACATGTCATTGTCATTACCGCACAGTAGCCCCTCTGGGCTGCTGGAAAAGGTTCACTAAGCATAAAGCCATGGGAGTTCCCACAGAGGTGTCTGTCTTTCTGTTGGAAATGTATAATCAACTACAGGGCTGGATTACAAATTGGGTTGGGGCTTTTTATTCTCTGGTACCAAGTTCAGGAGCTCTCTACTCAATATTCTCCTAAATGCTGATGGAAAATTTTATAAGTGAGACGTTGTGTCACTAGTCTGTGTTTCAGTCTCTGCTGTTAATAATACAACACAGGGTAACCAGTTCTCCTGCTTTCTATTTGAAGATTATTCTGTAAAGCTTAAATTGCTGCTGTTGCTTTCCAAGGGCAGAAAGGAGAACATTTCTGCCTGAATTCCTGTAAGCACCAGGATGCGGTACCACTGAACAAAACTTTCTGCTAGAATGGGCTACTAACAACTTTCCTTGGCTACTCTGGGCACCACAAAGTCTCAGAGAAATTGCGTGTTTTCAAACAATATGCTTAATAGTAATAACATCTACCAAATTCCCTATTCCCTTTCAAATTCTAAACGTGAGGCTTGATTGGTTTGAAACAAATCTTTGTAATAAAAGACACATGGAGAGAAGGGTCAAGTGGTTGAGGAAGAAAGATGAAGAAAACAGTCATTGTTGTGAAGGCTGAACAACAGATCATTCAGATCACATTATGCAGTCTCTGATGGTTTGAAACTCATGTGATGCCCATGAATGAGCCAGTGCTATTCCAGTATGAGGGGAGAAACCCTCTGTTTCTGAAGTTACTAACTAGGTGGCTGGTTGTCTAGGTTGAAGTCTGGAAGAAGCCACTTGGCTTGGAAATAATATGGGGTTTTTGGCTTCCAGGAGGAGTTCTGCTACCCAGTGGAATGTCTGGCTCTGACGGTGGAGGAAGTCATGCACATCCGCCAGGTGCTGGTGAAGGCAGAGCTGGAAAAGTACCAGCAGTATAAAGATGTCTACACTGCCCTCAAGAAAGGAAAGGTAGGGCTGCGCCTGAGGAGGCTCCAAAGCTTACTGAGGGAGCCCAGCTGCTTATGTATTTGTTTCTTACCCTGTATTGGAGAAAAAGAAGGAATATCCACCAAGCTTCCCCTAAATGTATAACATATGGGTCAGCTTCCTTGGATTATGTGCAAAAACATGACAACTTTTCATGGAAATACCTTATTAGTTTCGATTGTATATAAAAATGCAGTAGCATTTGTGATTACCAGAGTGTATGTGTGTGTTTTACACTTTATTGATTAAAGTGCTTTCTGTCCCCATGCCTTCTGCAGTACTGCTCAGCATTTCTCTCCCAGAAAATGGAATTACAGCTAGCAGTAGGAAATTACAACAGGTTTTTCTTATGAAACCTCAGTATCAAGCAAAGAGGGAATGAAAGCCTTCAGAGGAGTCAGACACCATGTGACACCAAAGGGCAGTTTACAGAACACATGAATGAACACATTTTTCTCTGTGAACAGCAGGTTGGGAATTGGTATTTACCAGGAAGAAGCAGTATCCTTGTACTTGTACTTCTTGACCACCTCTGACAGGTGTATTTTAACTTCACAGTGTATTTTACCTACAGGCCTACTTTTGTCTGTTATGCAGGTTTGTTTAAAGATTGAATACATTTAAGGCAGAGGAAAAAGAATCTTAAATGTCATTCATTAGATTCAACTGTTGTGTATTGTCATGATATATAAAACTTAGTAATGAGCTTTTATAAAATTTCCAAGTGAGCTGATGCTTTAATTAACCCACTATTAAAATTATTCACCTTTATTTCTAATGAAATTTATCTAGCCTGACCTATCTCTTTGGATCTCAGTATGCCATCTTTTGTTTGGCTGCAAAACTTGTCATATTGTTCAATGCTTTTCCTTCCTGGAAATGTTCTTAAGCTGTGGTCCCTACCTCCTCTGAATAAACTGAATAGATGGGCTTTATTATCCCACTATAAAGCAGGTTATCCTCAAATAAGACTGTTATAATAGCTCTTGCACCTCCTCTTAATTTCCAAGAATGTAGGATTTCAGACAAATCATCAGATGTTATCACAGGCAAAAACTTTGTCCCAGAACCTGACCTAGGTGGTTAGGAACAATTTCCAGCCTACATTTATTCATGGCTGAATTCATGCCTATTTGTTCTTCTGTTCTTCAGTTGTAGCAGTTACTCTTCCTTACTGCTGTTACTCTTACTTTCCTATTGCTTTTTTTGTATAGAAATGATATAAACACCAGTGAGGAAGAGTAAAAATAAGTTCATAATTACCCGGCAAATATTTAATTTTTATTTAAAAAGTTAAAAGTATTTGTAAATATATGAAAATACTATTCTGGACCATTCTTTTCGATATCATCTCAGGAGAAGCATGGACACCAGAACTGGATGTAGCACAGCATTGTGGGCTTGCTGATGGCAACTGATAGATGAAGTAATTTTTGTGCTTAACATTGTGGACTCCTCTGTTCTTTTTTAGCTCTGCTTTTGCTGTCGAACAAGAAGGTTTTCTTTCTTTACCTGGTCTTACACTTGCCAGTTCTGTAAAAGGTAAATTTATACTATCTGTATAATCTGGTATAATCTGTACTATCTGGTAAATTTATGATATTTGTTCATAATAGAGTGAAAAATACAGATTTATACATGAGAAACAGCCAAATGTTTTCACTGCATGCAGTTGATTGTTTTTATTTCTGTAACAGTTGATGTTAAAAAAAGAAAAAAAAAAAGAGCAAAACCAATTATTTCCTAAGTGACTGAATTGCTTCCTTGGACTGAATCTCTAGGCTAAATGAGAGAAACACTAGGTTTTAGGGAGAGTGAAATAGAATGTATTCAGGCTCTCCAATTAACAATTCCATAATCTCTGTTGTTGAGGAAAACATTTCAAGGCAATTTAATTTTTGGATTATTTTTGGAGTATTGGTGGGAGAGTCATTTGCAGGCAAAATGAAAAATTTTAAGTGGAACAGTGAGATCTATGGAATCACTGTTTGATTGTGTCAACAAAGGTTTATTTAGGGGAAAAACAGCTTCTTTTTTTGTTTCTCCTTTTTTAAAAAAATGTAATTGCAGTTCTTGGTTAACGTTTCTCCTTGCTTTTGGCTTCATGTTCTGATTGAATTTATTGAAGAAGCTTTAAAAATATAAGTTCTTGTTTAAGGGGGAGGGAGGAGGATTCTAACTCCTGAAAACATTTATCTCTTATTCTTTTGCCCAAGAAAATTATTCATGTTCTTGCTTTTTTACACAGGCCTGTATGCTCACAGTGTTGCAAAAAAGTAAGTAAATAAAGTTATGGTTAGACTCTTTTTAAAAAGCTGTTATCTCTGTGATGATACTGCATGTTCTTTCTGCTATTCTCAACAGATGCGGTTGCCATCAAAGCCATATTCCAGTCTCCCCATCTTCTCCCTTGGACCTTCGACCTTGCAAAAAGGAGAAAGCTTTATGAGGCCAGAGAAACCCTCTACTAGTCACCACCGATCCCTGCGGAGCATGTCCAGGTGGGAAACAGCCCTAGCTCATGTGTGTCTATCGGAAATGTTTCCTAAAAGTTTCCTCCTGAGTTACCCCTCAGTAATTACTGTCTACTGTTTTGTTGTTACTGTTTCTAAAGCTTGTAGCAACTTTTCTGGAGCCTGAAAATCCATCTCTTCCACTCATTGCTTTGATTTACAGAAACAGCAATACTCACAGTGTCTCTTAAACCTGTCTATCTTTTTCTGGTGAGGATAGGCTCTCCAGAGATAAATCTCACAGACTACAGTCACTCACTGGGTGGGAATTCAATGAAGTCTGCACAGATTTATCTTTTTTTCCTCCCTAATTTTTCTAATTCTAATTTTCAACATTTTTTTTTCACTTTGACATTATCAAATTATCTACTATTATACAATTTATGCACAGGTGGCTGTCAAAGCTAATCTGAGAAATTAAATGTAAAAGAAATCCTCCTTTTTTGAGGTGATCTCCAGTATATTATGTATATTATTTATATATATGTAATATAATCCCTTTGAATAAATCAGTAGTGCTGTGATGCTGTGTCAAAATAGCCAAACACATAATCTATTTATAGATATTGCTAAGATTGGTTTTGACAGTATGTCAATATTGTCAAAAAATGTTCTACATGCCCTCATTTAGTGACCCTGCAATCTTGCTGCACCAGGCAGAAGCTGTCCTCTCTGGTATCTTGTCTCCTGGTGTCATTTTTGGGACAGGAGAAAGGAAGATTTGAATCAAGATGGTTCTGATTGTTGTTTCCTTAGAACCCACTGCTGATGCTGCTAAATAATGTGACAGGTCCTGATCTTTTGCCTTTTAGGTTGACTTCAAGGTCCAAATCTGTGGATAAGTCACAGGAAGAATTTCCCAAAGAATTAATGGAGGACTGGAGCACGATGGAGGTGTGTGTGGACTGCAAGAAGTTCATTTCAGAAATCATCAACTCCAGCCGGCGCAGCCTGTCTCTGGCCAACAAGCGAGCGAGGTTAAAAAGGAAAACACAGTCCTTCTACATGTCCTCGCCAGGAACATCCGAGTACTGCCCCTCTGAAAGGACTATCAACGAGATCTGAGCTGCGTGCCTTTTCCTTTGCTTTTGTCTTCATGAGGTCATCATCCATGAGCAAGGCCACTGGAACTGGATTGTCCTTAATGTGCTTAGTTTCTCTGGACTGGCTGGGGTTGGCATTAGATCTCGGGATTCCCTGCTCCAGCAGTTCCCAGAGCGCGCGGTTTAGATCCGTGCAGAGCAACGCGCAACGGGTCAGCTGTTCATACTGGAAGAAAATCCCGAGTTTGAAATTGCTGCCTCTTTTGTACGTGCGTGTTGAAACTAGAAAGCCTTTTCTTGCTTTCAGTCTTTTTTTAACCATGCTTTAAATCATTTTTCAGGAGATGGGCTGAAAACGTAGTTTTCATGGAGAACCAAATCTAGCGAAGTGTCAGTGTTAACACAGTAGCGAACAGTAAGTCATATTGGCATTGCCACCCTTGTCATGCTCATGTCCTGGTCGAAACAGCAGAGGGTCATATCACACACCAGACACCCCGTGTGAGCAACTGTGGTCAAAACCATCTTTCTTTGAACTGCTTTGGTTGTGCTGAGATCAGGGTTCAGCACAGGACTCTCCAATGTCTGTGTCCTACAGCAAAATCTGTGATGAAGCTACTTACCCATGTGGTTTGCCATTCCCCTGACCTGCTGCACGTTTCAAGCCTTAGTGTACTTCTAAGTGTCTCCTGAGCAGGTTTTAGTAGTTTACTTTCTATCTTGAATGTATGATGATGACTACTAGTAGTAGTGAATTTTAGTAGTAGACAGAGTTGTACAGTTTATGGGGAGGATGGAAAATAAGGGAGGCTTCTAATTTTAACTGAATACCTGTAAATTGCTCTCGTGGTTACTCAGAAAGTGGTGGGTAAGGTGTACATTTGTATTATAATGGAGCACACAAATACTGCTATAGTTATGTCAGACATCATATCCACTGATAACCCCATTTTTTCTGGGGTTTATAACTTGGCTGTAAAAATTCATGTTCTGCTGAAATTTGGGACAGTGCTGTCTCAGATTGGGAGCAATCTCTTTTTTTTTTTTTTCCTTTAATCTTTTTTCATTATTTTTCCCTCTTTAATTCATTAAAGAGTGCTAGACTAGTCATTTAGAAGTTCCAACGATGTTACATTAACTGACTTCTCATGCTTTTTTGCACTTTTTTTATATTCAAAATACATTTTTTAAAATTTGGGCATAGCCAGAGTTTAGTCAATAATTTTGGGCCAGATCATTTTGGTATTTAAAAACAAGCTAACGTAGCCAAGTTATTAATACTTGAAAATCAACTACTGTAACTTTTTCATAAAATTTTTAATACCCTGAGGCATATTTAATATCTATAAAGCAGTGTATCATAGAATGACATAGCAGAAAAGTTTCAGATCTATTTATTAACATTTCTATTCTTTGAATTAATGAGAGATACCTCAGAACTGCTCCAAAATAGCTGGGTCTGGATTTCCATAACATGAGTTTAAAGATGTATTAATCAGAACAGACTCTCCTGTCCAATTCTCATGCATTGAAAAGCCCCAGAGAAGGCAGATTGCCCCACCAGCCCTGGTGAGGAATGGTGTGGAGGTTGTGGGGTGGCTGGGCTTTAGTTCTACTGCCAGCTGCCTTCTGCTGCCCAGGGGAACAAAGCTTCCCCTTGAAAGTGTATTTGCATGTTACATAGCAGCCTTCGGAGCAGCCACTCATATCTTTTAAGTTGATTTGAAAGGCACATGCAATTGTCTTCTAACACCCTCCCAGGGACTCATCCATCCTTATTTTTCTTTAAATGCCCCCTTGGAAATTAAGATTTTTTGTATATGCAGGGCTTATTAAAAGAATGTTTTTAATTTTTTCTGAAGCAATGCAAACAGGAAAAGCAAGGATCAAGGCTAAGTCTCCCTCAGAGCTGACCTGTGTCATGGCCCCTGGGGTACCTCTAGAAACGTGTCTTGCATGTTAAAGCACCTGGAGTACTGGCATGAGATGAGGATGTAGGATTGCAGGAGGTGAGGAGTACAGGCAGATTGATTCGAAAGGTTTGCTGTTGTTGGAAGGGTTGCCTGATCTCAGTCACATCAGCACTTTTTCTTGTTTCTGTGCCAAAACCAGGCCATGTGTTTGCTGCACAGTACATCAGGAAAACTAGACTGAAAGAAATGCATGAAATCTCACTTTCCATCTCCCTGTTGTTCTTACCATTTTCTCCTGGCAGTGCCCCAGCCACACATTACAATCACTCAGTCCTCTGCTTGCAGTGCTCTTCCTGGGCAGGCTGAAGCCCCCAAGCTGCAGGGCAGCCAGCACATTTATTTTCCCCTTTGAGAGGGATGTAGGACACTGCAGAGCGGCCTGATCAAGGACTAAGTAAATCCTGCATGTGCGAAGGGAGAGGAGTCTCTCAGGGCAGCCCTGCCTCAGCAGTGTCTGGGGAAGCAGCCCGAGCCTCAGGGTCTGGCTTTGCCCACCTGGATTGCCCAGCAGCCCTTGGCTTGGGCAGAGCTCTATTGCACTTGGCAGGGCACGACGCAAATGATGCAGTGGCTGGACAAAGTGCTCCACGTTGCTCATGCAGAGCAGCCCTGAGGCAGGACATGGATACCTCCCTTTTCCCCTGGAAAAAAACCCTTCAGGCTGCTGACACTTTGGGGCAAGCACCAGAGAACGTGGTTCAGAGGGCTGCCTCCCTCCTTCCCCGCCATCCCTTCCTCTCTGCCACAGCTGCTCCACATTATCCTGGCATTTCATTCCACAAAGCAGCAGCAGCGGGTTGGGTTGTCACGCAGAGCCTGAAGGAGCTCCGTTGCCTGGCTCTCTGTGGAGTGGGCTATTTTTAGCTTTCCATCTCATTGCTTGCACTAGCTTCCCAAATCCACTGCAGCCTTTTGCCTGCGTTCCCTGCAGTGCTGCCCAGCATGTCCTGGTTATGGGCTGAACTTCCCATCAGCGTCTGAGGATGAAATCAGAAGCTTGTAAATATGTGTATTATATTTATTAATATTTAGGAAGTCTCCATCGATCATGCAATGGGAATTGACTTTCCCATGATGTTTTAAAATGGAAATGAGTCTTATTTATATGTGTTTGCTACTATCTTTGTTAGCATTAATGCTTTCGGCCCCCTAATACAGTTTGCACTCCATAGGCATTTTAGAGTGAATTACTGCTGAAAGGAATGCAGACTAGTACAGTGAGCTCCTTTCCATGACATTTTAAAGTATTTTGATTATTTTTTTAGCTTTATTAATATGCCCAAGGTGAGATGAAATTCATCATAGGAGACCTGAGGAGTTAAAAATGCCAGTGGCAGCATCAGTCTTGTTGGTTTGTACGTGAACCTAATTGTGGAGAATTCCAAACCAGCTCTGCCTCACCATGACGATGGAGGAAGCAACCAGGCCTTTGCTGCAGCTCTCGAACCTGACCTTTCAAATGTTCTGGTGACAATAGTGCTTTTGGGGTTTGTTGTTTTTTCCCCCTTCCCCATTACTTTCTTTATACAGGGAGGCATGTTACCTGGCAAAAAAGAAAAAAAGAAGCCTTTCCATTATAACCCTTGTCTGTGTTAATTATTCAGGTGGAAGCTGATTTAAAGGTTCTGTCTCTTTTTCATGCTTTTCTAGTTTTGTAAGAGCAGCCATATGCTTCTTTTGGCAAAGAATTGTTAATGAAAATTACTTAATCACAGCTGAACAGTGGTTGGGCTGCATGAAGGGATGGAAACATGTCAAAGTACTCCTAGAATAGCAATAAAACTGCTTGTGTAACCCCAGCAATGTGATGAGCGCGTAGTGATCATTTCCAGCCAACTCCCTCCGTTACCAACATGTCGCTGCTTCCAACATGGATGCTCTGTAAGCTGAGGTGCACTTCTCCTGCATGTCATACAGGCTTTGGGAGAGCTCCCTCATCTTTGGGAGAGAAATGCTGGTATTTTTTTGGAGAGGTTTTTGAATCACTGTTTTTAGTTTTCAAATGAGAAGTGGAGAGAACATTTTTATCACCGCTATTACATTGTTCTTTCAAGCTCCTCTTTTTCCCCAGGCAAGTTCAGCATCAGCTTCCATGGTTAGTTACTGGCTGCATGCTGTATGGATTAAAAAACTAAGCTCCAGCTTTAGGCATCGGATTTGCTACCTTCATGCTTTACCTCATCCAGCAGCTCTCTACATCTTTTAGGAATGTCTTTCTTATGAGCTCACTGTCACCTGTGAAACAGTGACAGCACAGTGGCATGAGGGAAAGGTGCTGCGCCTGTACGCTCTGGTGCTACAGCAAACAGATTATGGTAATGTCACCATAACATTTTATAGTATTTCCATGTTAATGAAAATTGGAGCTGCTTTGGTTTATTTCTTCTTGTTTTGTATGTGTGTAGCTTAAGGCCAATCTGAGAAAGTTTATGAGTATTGATTCCAGCTATAAAGATCTGTTTTGTTGTTGCTGTCTGATTTTTACTACTGTGTTGCGCATACCTGAAATTACTGTTCAGCAGAATTTCTTGGTAGGAAAACAGCCAGAGAGGTGCATTAGCATTAGCTCAGGCTGTCATGCTACACAAAGACATTTCCTGATGCATTAGGCTAAGTTCATGAGCAGTGTTCTCGTGGCAGCTTCATCGAGTCCAGTGCGGCAGTCCCCTCCCACTGGGAGAGCTGGCGACAGCTCCCATGTACCGGGGCGGGTGCTGAGTGGCACCCACAGGCTCCAGCAGCAGAGGGAGCCTGTGGCCTTCCCTGCCTTCTCTGCTCGACATTGAAAAAACCCAGAGCTTGTTCAGCTTACCCGACGCAAGCTGTGAGCCCCCGGGCCCTCGCTGCAACACTGGGGACTACAAAGTGATTACAACCGTATAAAGAATATCGAGAGCTGCTGATAAAGAGATGAATGCTCAGCTCACAGGATCCCATGCTGCAAACTTCTATTGGCTTTTGGTACTTAAAAAGCAATTAATGCCACTTCTAGTTGCACCAAGTTCCAGATAGCTGCAATTTCACACCACTTCGACAGGAAAAGATTTAT